GCAATTGCAATCGCAGCCGTATTGTCACAATATAAATCCATGGGTTTCTTAGGCCCAAAACCAAGGTCTCTCAACAATCTCCTCAACCATAGTAACTCAGATACACCATGGGCCATTCCCCGATACTCGGCCTCGGCACTAGATCGAGACACCACTTTTTGTTTCTTGCTCCTCCACGTAACAAGATTGCCACCAACAAACATAAAATACCCAGATGTCGAACGCCTATCTGTAGCTGAACCTGCCCAATCAGCATCTGTGTACCCTTCCACATCTGTATGACCATACTTGGAAAAAATTAACCCCTTGCCAGGAGTTACTTTCAGATACCTTAAAATACGAGTCACAGCCCCCATATGATCTACACTAGGAGAGTGCATAAACTGACTCACCATACTTACAGCATATGCAATGTCCGGACGGGTATGGGCTAAATAAATCAACTTCCCCACAAGTCGTTGATAACGTTCCTTATCAGTCGGAACTTGATCGGGATATAACCCCAACTTATGATTCTGCTCACTAGGGGTATCAATCGGTTTACAATCCAACATTCCAGTTTCTGCAAGTAAGTCCAAAACATATTTCCTTTGGGACAAAAAAATACCATGCTTAGATCTAGCAACTTCAATTCCAAGAAAGTATTTCAAGTCACCTAATGATTTCATCTCAAACTCAGACGCAAGATATTTCTGAAGACTCTGTATTTCTACCTGATCATCTCCAGTTACAATCATATCATCAACATAAATTATTAAAGCTGTCAATTTACCTCTGCGACGTTTCAGAAACAAAGTATGATCCGAGTTACTTTGTACATACCCAGACTTCCTCATAGATGCAGCAAACCTCCCGAACCAAGCTCTTGGAGACTGTTTTAATCCATACAAGGATTTCCGTAGCTTGCACACCATACCCTCCTTAGAGGTCACAAGGATACCCGGCGGAGGATCCATGTATATTTCTTCCTTGAGGTCACCATGGAGGAATGCATTTTTGACATCAAATTGTAACAGCGGCCAATCATGGTTAGCGGCTAAGGACAAGAGTACGCGCACCGTATTGAGCTTTGCTATTGGAGCAAAAGTCTCTGTGTAATCCACTCCATAGGTCTGAGTATACCATTTTGCTACCAATCTTGCCTTGTAACGGTCAATAGAACCATCAGCCTTGTGCTTCAAAGTAAACACCCATTTGCATCCAACTGCCTTCTTCCCTTTTGGTAAAGGAACTAACTCCCAAGTGGCATTCTTGTTCAAGGCTTCCATTTCAATATGCATTGCATCTACCCAATTTTGATCAGATAGAGCATCCTGCAACTTAGTTGGCACACATACACTAGATAATTGATACAAATATGATGCATATGACTTAGATAAATGATGAGTTGACATATAATGGTTAATGGGATATTTGGACTTGGCATGTATATCAGGAGAATATTGTA